CATTGGCTTATTTCACGAATGCAATGTGATGAATGTGAGTGGCAATTTAACTGACAGTTTATATTTCAAAAATGCTCATTCGAGCGGAGATGGTGTTGTGACAGGAGGGGCCACTACCGCGCGTATGGTCCCTGGATCGAATCCCAGCTCAAACCCAGCGCGCATCAGCCAAATTTCTACAGATGATTAGTTGTTGCTAGGAGCGATGGATACTACAGAACACATCAATAACTTGTCTTCAAAAAAGTCGTAGTCTAAGGTTAAGGCTCAGTTTTGAAGGTAAGCATCAAATTGAGGCGGTTTAAGGACCGAGTTGAAGTAGTCCGTCGACCGTCGGGGACCCCATCCCCTCCCCAACATTCAGCATACGGCCCCAGCAGAAACGCCAAAAGGGCTGGTTTGCTTACTTCTTCCAGATCTACTCTCGCTCGACGTAGCCAAGCCTTGATTCATACTATTGATTAGTACTAGGCTTGTTTTGAGAGTAGAAAAATATTTACTACATCAGATGGCCTGCGGACTTTACACAAGCCAAATGAGCATTGGAAAACAAGAGTGCGAGTCGAACCAGTGGTTATCATCAAGCAAGATAATTTATAAACGCCGCACCCCACCCTTTCAATCATGATCGTGGACTCTGATTTCAAGCAGAGATAGTCGCAATAAAGGATAAAAGGATAAAGCATTTGCCGTTGATCAATCCCTTTTTGGGATGCGGCACGCATTCTACTTCCATTTGTACATTCGTAGTGGCGTTTGAATGCGATGTGGCCTATACAATGACTTGCGGGGGCCAGCCGATGTACAAGTCAGTGTTTTTATTTGTTCAGTCAGTCGTGTTTGTTATCCTCCCAGACCAGCCCGATACCAACTAGTTATCCTATCAGACCAGTCTGGTACCAATTAACCGACCCCGGAGGGATGGAAGGCTTGGTTGGCCCGGGCGACTCACGACCCAGGATTTGATCCCCGGACCGCTCGCGTGGTAAGCGTGCCACTTGCCACTACACCACTTCCGCCCATAGATAGTCGCAATAACAACAATAAGTAGATATATCCACTATATACCAAGTATCAGTCGTTACCTTCTAATTCAGTCTTCACCCATAGTTAATCGCAATGTTCCTTGCTTGTAACTTTCAGATGTTGGCTTTTCATTCAATGTGTCAATAGCACAAGGGATTCAACATTGCAAATAAACTAAAGGTAACTTTGAACTACAGCAACTTTGAAAACAAGACTTCAAAAAAGTCTCACTGAAAAACTTATAATGGATAAGCTAAAACAGAGAAGCGAATCAACCAGCGACAGACCAATAGAAGTGGAAGTGTAACGGCTAATCAATGTCTGGAGAAATTGTGAAGGATTCATCATGATAAAGCGAGTATTGTACGGAAAAAGGCTAAGAAGTCACTCAGATGATATTTACACTCCAAGACCCATGGAGCTCGAAAATAAGTTGTATGAGACCTCTCTAATTCGTGTGAAACCCAAAACAAGCGAAACCATCACAGAGTTCTCCACAGCCCTTTACAAGCTTGTGGTGGTTCGCGACAAAAGCAAGAACCAATACCTCAAGCAAAAAATTTCCTCGCTGAGGTGCGTCCACACCTTGCAACCGTCTTGCATCCAATGATCGATTCGTATCTAATCTAATCTCGAACTGCATACGAAATGAAAGGCAGTCGCAAAAAAGGGATCGGACGTTTACACTAGTTTTAGTTTAAGTTTCCAATAAGAACACTTTAAAGTTACTTTGCGAAGGAGTTCGTTGTAGGTTACAGTAGTGTGTTCAGCAACTAAAGCTATTTAGTAGAAAAAAAGCAAACAAAACCTGTTCAAATGATATGAAACTAAGGAATTGTGCGAGAATTACCTTTAAAATATTATATCCCAGATAAGACTGTGGAACTGGAAATAGGCTACAGAAGTATCACGTGGATATTCACTGCAGACACCAGGGACCGGGTGCAGCAAGCCCCCAGTAGGAAAAAAGAAAATCATACCAGTGATGAAAAGGAGGGCATATGGCAGTCGTTTACAATAAGACTAGACGTATCAATCTCAGATTAAGTGGGTTCCTACGATAACGCCGCACCACTACATCATTACCCTTTCTAAAGCTAGCGGAAGAGAGGCTCAAAGCCCTGCCAAATGAAGCAGCGCTGCATGAACATGACGCATAAGATAGTCGCTTGGCCACACAGATATATGGATAACAAGCGTTGAACACGCTACATCGGCTTCACTGTATTCCACTGATATAACAATATTTATAGAACAAAATCTATATTTTATAACAGGGAACAGTATAACAACAGTACATCAGATCAAAGATACCTAGATGGCTGGATCCTAAACGCCTAAACTACTAATTCACAAAATGAAACCTAGTATATACGTCAATTCGGTCGTTATTCTAGAAAAAATAACAAAACGTAAGGCGACAAGCTATCGCGGAGTAAAAAATTGCGGCAAATTCAGGGTAATATAGTGGATAAATAGTCAGTGGAAAAGTGGACAATGTCATCGTTTGCAACAAAACCGAATCAACACAATCCAAATTATTAAAACAAGGCCTTTAAAATCCGCTAAAGGAATGCACCTAAAGCCACCAAGCACTTCGGACGCTGGACAATGAACACGCAAACATTCAAGACAAGTGTCATGAAAATAAGGTGATATCAAATACAAGAGATAGCTGAATGAGGATGGAGCAAAAATTCACTCTGTGCGCTTCGTAGCTAGATTCAGCCCGTAAACTAAACGCACTTCTTCGATAACCTGAGCTCAACCGATGATTAGACCGAGACCAAACTTTCCGGCTACCTGAAAATTGAATAACGAGTTCTGTTACAGCAGTTTCGATCGCTAATGAGATTTCATCACAAAAATCGAAACTACGGAGTTAATTCGACCAAACGCGGAAAAAATCTTATACAAACATGTATGAGAATAGAAACCAAAAGACCCAAATACTAGTGTGCAAAATAAATATTTGATTACGATGACCTTTTGTTCCCTTCAAAAGTGCAAGGCCTGCTCCTTATGAGCTACAACTCAAGAAAAGGTAATCTAACCAAAGAAAAACAGTAGAAAAAACATGAGCTACAACATACCTTAGCATGATTGAAGATTCCAGACAACGCAAGTGTGAATGGCAGTTGTTGACTCAAACGTTTCTCGAAAACACCGCCAACCGACCTAGAAGCGGATTTTGACTTGTTTTTGTTTGTTAACTGCTGTTTTTGGCCGCAGTTCGCCTTGCGAATGTTTCACAACCCAGCATACTTGTGAAACGACCTAGAAGCATCCCTCAATATTTGTCCAAAACATCTTAGAATCACCCCTCCTGTAAATATTCTACGAAGAAGGAGCCTGTGAATAACAGCCTCCCTACAACTCCAAGTGTGAGGAGAACTCTCCAATGCGATCTCAGTCATTAATAAGATGACGCTTAGCATTCAAAATAGAAAAAAAATAAAAAAACTGATGTGAATTATACCAGTTGGTGTCAATGCTAGCTCTCATTGTCACACCTTCATCCGGTAGTTCAGCCACATAAGCAAATGTGCCAACAGCCTGAAGTTTTCACGTCTAAAACCAAAAAAAAGAACCTTCAATTCTCAAATGTACCTCGCCAACGTTGGAATTGCTTTCAAATTCTACACCGAATGCAAGATTCTCGGCCTGCTTGTGATAGTAGGTGAAATGAGCACCTTAACTCGAGATTCATTCGGTTCGAAAGAAGACAGGTAAAAATTAACATTGAACATGCAATACAATCATACCTGAAGAGCCTAGAGTTGCTGCTGCTGTCCAAATCGGTGTGGTATAACGAGCTCCATATGACAACATAGACACTTGTTGACCTGGAAGATAAGAATTATGTGGTAAATTCAGGTACTATGGAAGTCGTTACAGAAGGATTGATGTAAACCATCAAAAATATGGACTGTGCATACAAACATTACAATAGTAGTAGCCCTGGTCGTGCTTAGGTGTTAAGAATTTTTATTGTTATTGCTTTCATCGCATTGGCACTGAAACGCACACTGAAGACATATGAATACACAACCGTTTACCATATTGAACAAATTCAAGGGGAGCGCGAAGCACCCGCATGTAGGAGTTTTCTAAGCCTTTTTCCACAACTGAGAGGCAACCGAGCGCACTACCCATATGCGCCCATGAAAGCGCCTACGGGCGCATGCATCGCCGGTAGTCCGACCGTAACGATACGTGATGTAACGTCGAATACTTAGGCAAGTCTGACGATCGATACGCATCGAATGCTGTGCGACAGTTGCGTTATCGTTGGTGTCGGACGACCGACAGTGCATGCGCCTTATGTCATGAAAAGAAGGATTTCAATCAGAAATATCACCTCCAAACTTACTATCAAACGACTATACGGAAAAGAAGCAGAAATTTGGCGCGCCCGGACATCAAAAAAAGGAAACCTTGATGACTAAGTATCTAGAAGAACGAGTTAAAGAAATGGAACAAGCTTCTTTATTATAATTGACTAAGCAGCATGCAGCTAAAAGGAACAAGGCTTTGGCTTACGACAGCTGTAAGAGCACAAACAAACGCAACGCTTGAGACATGCTATAATACTGCAAGAAAGCACGAATTATCAAAGTAAAAACAATACCTGGAATTTGTTTTCCATATTGATAAAGAATTTCTGCGCCGACGTCAAGTCTATTGGTCAGCTTCCGCAACATCTGACCAACAATTACGCCGCTCTCGTTGACGAGATCAGTGTTGGCAAATGTTAAACCAAACGTAGTTAAACGACCTCTGAAAAGTTAAACACTAAATGCGTGGTTACAACAATATGCGAAAAATCGTATAGTTATGGTCGATTGACTGATTGGTTTGATTTTGACAACACTGTGATCGAATTGCACTCTGAGAAAGAATAATTTCTACATCGGAGTCCTCACCAATAGCATGCTTTTTTTATCACGCTGTTGAATGCGTTAAGCAGCACTTTTCACACTACACTTTTTTCCCTCGCGTGTATCGGGAGAATTAAGATTACGAAGACCCGAAACGCCACCAGTCAGTCGCTATCTCGAACTCTGATTGGGCGTGTCACCGGAAATGACGTGGCAGCCATCGCACTTGCTAGATGCCACGTGGATAAGATACTCCGCCAGATATCAGCGAAGCATGCTGGAAGCAGCTTATCCGCGCAATTTCTATCAAGTGCGGTGGCTGCCACGTCATTTCGCAAGTGACCACCCCAATCAGTACTCCAGTTTGGAGTGCTATATATCCTGAGGCCTTCCCGCTCCCTTACATCAAGTCATGAGAATATTGTCCTTCCAAAACACATAAGTTCCGTTTGACCACGCCACCTAAGGTTCCTATATATGCCATACTTGGAATTACAGTCGGTATCTCGAACTCTGATTGGGCGTGTCACCGGAAATGACGTGGCAGCCATCGCACTTGCTAGATGCCACGTGGATAAGATACTCCGCCAGATATCAGCGAAGCATGCTGGAAGCAGCTTATCCGCGCAATTTCTATCAAGTGCGGTGGCTGCCACGTCATTTCCGGTGACACGCACGCAACCAGACTTCGAGATTTGGAGTGTGAGTCCCACTTTCAAATAATTACAGCTACCTTATCCACATACGGCACACGATACGAAACAATGAGTAACCCAGACCAAAATATTCGTTCGACAATGCTCAATACCTTCTTTCAAGCCCTCTTGAAGCTCCAACGATTTTGTTTTGGCTGTACTTGAGCCTGCACGCGTAAACGGTAATTATCCCCTGGAAATATAATATTACAAAACATTCGAAACACAAACGACTTTGGGCAATAGTTAACCAGAACAATTCTGACCGAATTGATGTAAAACTGTTGCAGTAGTATTTCCAGAGACATCAGTGTCTCCTAGAAAGATTGGATATTGTTCCTGTGGTCCGGCTACTTTTGTGCCGACGTATGTGGCACCAAATCGATACCCTGTATTCGTGGGAGAAATCGACAACGTGTGAGAAACCTGCAGAGTAACAAAACATCAAAGAACACCAAATTAAATAAATATGGAGAGGGAATATGTGAAGCTAAGCCATTCAAAAGAACTGCCAGACAACGACACCCCTGAAATGCGGAAGGCTGAGACCTTTGGTCACCATCACCTTAGCTCCCTCAAAACACATGGGAAAGACATCACGGGTTTTACGATGCAGCTCTTCAAAACTGCCTGAAAAATCCACTTATATCAAGCGTACCAAGGTCGAGGTTGCACAAATTAGTTGACTGCGGTACTACTTCGGGTCCGTGTTAGCACGCGATCTTCTTGTCTTATAAGGGAGGGCTTTCTGATCTTATTCAAGATCAGCAATGGCCTTTCATATTCCTTTTGAAACACTGTCTCGAATTTGCTCAACTATTTTCCAAATAGTGTTATGAAGGCGAACAGGCGCAGCGGTGATGGTTCGCACTCTAAGGCAGTAGGTCGTGGGATTTAGACTTCCGAGATATTACTCCTTGACTTTAAAAATGTTCCTGAATTAAGCTAACTACTCGTTACTTCGCCTGTGTTTGTCTATCCTGTCTGAAACCTGCGATGGCACAATTTGCCCGTGGCTACTCACACCGCTACTGCAGCGCTTTGCAGCTCCACAACTCCATTCAGAGAACTGATTGGCAGCTTAGGAAGCGCGGGTTGAAATCACAATTTAACGGGGCACGTAGAAATTTATATTGCCTCTCGAATGGCCATGTCGAGACCTGGAAGCCTCTCCTTCTTTGTAACTACTTCAATGAATCAATTGCTTCCAATTTACGTTGGGCGCAGGAAAAGATGATAAATCACAAAACATCGAGTAATGTGATGTTAACGAAAATGATGGTTTTTCGAATGCATGAGTTTTTTTTTTGCGTACACATTAGAACCGTCAAGAGCACTAAGAAAGTGGAGAATCTTCTTTTTTCACATTGAATATGTACGTTTTCCAAAACACATCGTAACTAAAAGGTAGAGGCAAAACGGAAATCATCAGTCAACCAAGATCGCACACAGTCCGCCGCTAACATGCCTTGTAATCGTAGTATATATAATCGTTCTAAACTACCATAGTGAGTATTACATTAACTAAGTATTGCTCTATAATCTAAAAAAACATTACCTGGATTGGTTGAAGGTTTTGTAGGTGCACTGGTTGCATCAGATGTAGATTGAGCCATATCAAAACCCTGAAATAAATAACGCTTGGAAAAAGTAAATAGATTCCACAGTAATGGATATGCACAACTCTATACAAAATGCGGAAAGACATCTTAACTCTTTCAACAAAAAAAGTCTCAAAAAGTAATAAGCCAAATCCATCTTAAATTCGACCAATGATTCAATGAAAACCAGACCGACCAGGCGTTGCGAGAAAAGATATAACAATTCACCGACCAAGACCAACTTCAAGCAAAAGCTAGGCACTAATGGAGATAAAAAAAGAAATCCAAAACCTTTGTACAAATTTTTTTTTTTTTTTTTTTTTTTTTTTTTTTTTTTTTTTTTTTTTTTTTTTTTTTTTTTTTTTTTTTTTTTTTTTTTTTTTTTTTTTTTTTTTTTTTTTTTTTTTTTTTTTTTTTTTTTTTTTTTTTTTTTTTTTTTTTTTTTTTTTTTTTTTTTTTTTTTTTTTTTTTTTTTTTTTTTTTTTTTTTTTTTTTTTTTTTTTTTTTTTTTTTTTTTTTTTTTTTTTTTTTTTTTTTTTTTTTTTTTTTTTTTTTTTTTTTTTTTTTTTTTTTTTTTTTTTTTTTTTTTTTTTTTTTTTTTTTTTTTTTTTTTTTTTTTTTTTTTTTTTTTTTTTTTTTTTTTTTTTTTTTTTTTTTTTTTTTTTTTTTTTTTTTTTTTTTTTTTTTTTTTTTTTTTTTTTTTTTTTTTTTTTTTTTTTTTTTTTTTTTTTTTTTTTTTTTTTTTTTTTTTTTTTTTTTTTTTTTTTTTTTTTTTTTTTTTTTTTTAAATTAAATAAATAAATTAAACAACAAGAAATCAGGAACCACATCTTATATTCATCACTAACTAGCGTTCTGCAAATCAATTAGTTCGTGCTATACGGAATTCTTCTCGATACCAGACTCTCCAGTAGAAATCTTGAACAGGAACATGAAGAGTTTGAGTTTCTCCGCGCCCCGGGCGCGATCTTCCGTCTGGGCGCGTCGTTCCATAAGAAACCTTCTTCAGCATTTGTGGGGACGTAAAGATTTAGAGCACTCTGCGGCGTCAGATAGGAGATGTTATCCGCAGAATGCACACCAGGCGCTTATTTTACGCAAAACCAGACACAAAACGCGAGAATTACAGGGAATGAAAGACGGAAAAGATGAAAAGAGGGGTTCCGATTGTAAGCACACAAAAAAACGAGACCTCACAACCAGTGGTACTTCTTGTGCTGCACACAGCCATGCGCTGCCTACCGTGCGTTGCGCAGAGTTCAGAATTTTTATGACCCCTTTTGGAGGGTATCGGTACGACCCACCTAGGCCGATGTCAGACTTTGCGAATCGCGCGATTCGCTAGCGTCTGCGGTCGCGTCGCGGCCAGTGAATTGGCTGGTACCGCAACGCGACCGCGGACGCTAGCGAATCGCGCGATTCGCAAAGTCTGACATCGGCCTATAGAGTTATTGTCTTTTTTTTTTTAAATATTTCTATGTATGCCCATCATCGATGTATGGGCCGTCGCTGACATACATGGGGAGGTGATGGACAGTAGTAAGTTCGCGCCACTTGTCTCGCTCGGAGGACGCGATTGAGGGAACATGGAATTTTACTCATCAAATAGAAGTAATTTAAAAAAAATTTCTCGTAAACCTAGGCATGATAGTAATCGAGAGATTACTTCTATGAGGAACCTACTAAGTTCTTCGAACTCACATATCTCCTTTTTTTATAAACTGAATAACAAGACCTTGCAGTGATTACGTTACGACACAAACCTCTTCATTTAACACGTTGACGACAGCGTGACGCGGTAACGCGTCCCACTTTGCGCACCTTGTGGGACATTGTGACCGCGGGGCACTATTGCATTATTACAACCCCGGTAAGGGTGAGAGAAGTCAAAAAAAAATTTTCGATGAAAATTTCATATGGAGGGTTATCGAGGGTCCTGATCATGGATATGAGGTCCATTTTGCCAAATTGGCGCCATTTGGCGCCATGTGGCGCCATGACTGAGAAATGTGTAGAACTCCTTGTGTATCGATGTGGTTCGGGGGAATACAGTGGTAGAATGTTTATTGTGTAGCTTGGATTCTGGGCGCCTCTCACTCTTATCATTTGAGTGACATTTATGTGCTCAAGGTCTGGCATGCCACCAGAACCTTCCCATCTAATCTCACCTACGCACTCATCTCAACACCTCACAAAATCATCCACGATAAGAATGAAAAGAACAGAAAAATTGCATTTGTTTTGGTAAAAAATTCGAAAAACCGAAAGGGCTGCTACGCGTTCAAATTACCGCCGGACATCTGTCACAAATGCTGGCGACGGGGATGCTTCCACTTGGTTCTTGGAGTGCCTCACTAGAAACTCTTTCTGGCCTTTTGACTTATTGCATTCACATCTCACACTTCTACTCCATTCTATCGATCGATTTGTCTCTACTCTCCAAAATCGCACGCTTTAACCCGATTCTTTCATTGCGTCGCCTGAGTGTGGACTTATTCCATGCCCCGCCTTTGGCTCCGCCCGAATTCGATTGTCCATAGAATGGATTTTTGTGAGTTTGTTTCTCTTCGGAAACCGAATCTTCATGCGTGAAACTTTGTGTATTGCATCTAGTGATCACAACTGATACATTCATGTTGAGAAAGAATGCAAGAATTTTCCGCGAAGGATTCCTTCAATGTCAAATTTAGGTCTGGTGGGCGACTACTGGACAAACTGCACTTCGGATTTTACTTGGGAATGTATGAGGCAGTTCATCGCGCACCTTTTTCACTATTGGGGAGCATAGAAAAAAAGCATTGATTACTCATAAAGGATTTTTTTAAAACTATTTACTCGACAATTTCGTTCCTGTTAGTAGCATATGAGAAAAGAATAATTTCATTCCTGAACTTTGAGAAAATACTCTTAGCGTTCTACTCTTTCATGTCCAGTTTTTGATCTAACATTTTCTAAGAGCCCGACAGTAAAAATCATGGATTTGCATGTCAGTGCCTTGTAATTAATCAGTCAAAAACAATGTAAGTAGATAACAGTACCACTATGATTAAGATATCAGCACGGTTAGCCTCACTTCCAATCTAATCTCACTTGAAGGTGAGGCTTTTTCGAAGCACTTCTTTTCTCGAAAAGCACCAGTATGGAGCATGCGTGCGTCGCTTCGCTGTCGTGCAGGCGTCTAGTCGATTGCAGTCATATTTGGTCAGCTGTTACAAATTATAACTGTCATTTATTAACGTTAAGACGTTTCTTCAGGATCCCAACATCCTAGTTTGTAGTCCAAGCATTCGTGGCGAAAATCAGCTCCCGCAACTTTTAGTTGGTTTAGACAACTACATGACTTCGTGCTTGAAAAAGGGAAAATCCTTCAAATTCCATCAGGACTTCGAGTAGAAGGCACGATCTTTGGTCCGACTTTATATGGCCGCGGCTCTTTGGAGAATGACGACCTCGACATAAACGCATCGACAATCACGCACTGCATCACAGCAGTAATTTCGACTGAGCTGGAAAACGAAATGCTGACCAAATTGTTCGAATTGGAAGGACTTGGGATTTCACCGAATTTGGTTGAACTTTATTTTGTTTCGAATGTGTTCATTCGAAATGCGGTCTAAACGCGTGTGCCCCATGCACCCGCAACATCTTCATCTCCGTGGATCCATACTCTGGTTTCATCAGCCGTCCTTTGTTTCGTTTCTGCTTCATAAATGGCTACAGGCCTCAAACTGAGGGGGGGGGGCAAAAAAGACATTTTGCCCAGGTCGCACTTCGGCCTTTTTTTCTTCGCAGAGATTGCCGTCGTTGACGGAAGTTCCTCAGCAAAATATTCCCTAAATGTCCCTCTATAAGTACACGCAGGCCCTCCTTCACTACCCTCACCGTCTTCAGAATATGACGTCATCTGTCACCGTCGTCGAGCTCAGGGAGGCCTACAGTAACTGCTTCAGCCTGAAGCTCTTACATAATTTCTTGGATCGATTCAACGTGGGATAGTTTCCTAGGGACATTAGCTCTAACTATGCAAACCCCCTCGGAACCCGGAACCCGTCGTAACGGTACACGATCAGTCGAGAACCCCATTGAGCTCGACCAGAGCACCATGTTTCCGGGGCAAATTTTCTGATGCCGTCCACGTAGATGGCCACTATGAAGATTTTCTTATGAAATGAAATGCGCTCTTCAATTCTAAGTTGGGAGCACACGCTTTGAGCTGAGCAAAGTGTGATTAAATTTGAGTCTGGAGACAAAATGTCTTTTTTTATTGGCTCCCCCTATATCTTGAACTTCAGGCGTATTGGTATTTTCTTGTCATAAAGGTTACAGGTGACCGTTCGCCATTTGTTCCATGATGCATTGATTCTGGCAATCGTGTCGGCTTTCGTGTCAGTGTCCGCAGAGAGCATGGATCCGAGGTATGAGAATTTAGCCGTCTTTGGTAGGGGAGTTCCAGCTACAACAATTGACGATTCTGTGGCCACCGTGCTCATATATTCCGTCTTGTTGATGTTGAGCTTGAGTCCATGATCATCGAGTTGTTTCTTCCAGCGGTTGACACGTCTTTCTAACTTTTCCTTTGATCGATCCATAAGCAACACATCGTCAGCATAGCCAGTTTCAGAGGCGGCTCCTTCCGGATGTTTCTCGTGGCATAATCCATGCAAAGGATGAAAAGTAGTGGTGAAAGGGCTGATCCTCGATGGACTGCAAC